TGACAATGAGAGCTAAAAGTGCAGCCATATTAAATAGTACCAAACCATAACTCTAAAAAAATGTTAGAAGTTTTATGAATCCTTATGAAGCTTTGGAAAAAATAACGTGTGATACTAGAAAATTACAGATAACTATTGTACTACGTACAAAATAAGTCTAGTAATCTTCTAGTGGACATCATGCCAAGATTATAACGAAATTATAACCAGAAGTGTATATAGGAAGACGTTTACTATTGGTTCCTGAATTGGGAGGTTTTGACCAATTTTTATTAACCTAAACTTCCTAGTTTTTATTTTTTTCAAAATAACTTAAAGTTCCTGATTCATTCAATCCTAGATAATTCCTGATGTAGTCATTTATTTCAAAAGAAAAAAAAACAATTCCTGATGTAGTCATACAGCGTTGACATGTTTATTCAAATCTTTTCATTTCATAAACACGTGAAATCGGTCTAATGATCTCCGCAAACTTTGTTTCTTAAGTCAGCTTGGAAGATCTGAAAATGGAAGTTCTTTCCCATCCTTTGCAGCTGCCCTTACCCATTCCCTGGCTCTTTTAATTTTTATTTTCCTTACCTGCTTGCATTAGATTTCCTGCGAAATTAATAATCTAAAATCATATTACTCACTCTGTAGGCTTAATGGCATGGTGGAATGTGGCAATCGACATAAGCATATTTATCAAAGGGCTATGCTCCTGGTGGAGCAAGTTAAAGTGAGTAAAGATAGTCCTCTTGTTGCATGTCTACTGGAAGGGCCAAGTGGCAGGTACTCGTTGTTAACTTTCTTATTTTAATGTCATTATTTGTTGCAAATGTCTGATTCTTTACCTGGATAGTGGCAAGACTGCTTTGGCAGCTACAGTTGGCATTGACAGTGATTTTCCATATGTTAAGATAGTAAGATCCTATCCACATTTTCTTACATAACATCTGAAGTTCTCAATATTTTCTACATATTTTTGTTTTTGATATCTTTTTATAAAAAAATTTTATTGTAGATCTCTGCTGAATCAATGATTGGTCTTCATGAAAGCACGAAGTGTGCGCAAATAATTAAGGTTTGTTGGAGGAAAAAATTGGGGCAAAAAATAAGTGGCTTTCTGGTCAGTTGACCTGCTATCTTGCAATAATATGAAAAGCTTATGGAGTTTTGGATGTTCTGGCAGGTGTTTGAGGATGCATATAAATCTCCATTGAGCATCATTATCCTTGATGATGTTGAAAGGTACTGCTTGGTATTCTCAATTTTATTTGTAACTGATCTCAGGCTTAAAGTCTTCCTTTCTTAAATATGTATCTTTTGTGATTCATTCTTCCATTTTGTCGCAGGTTATTGGAGTATGTTCCAATCGGGCCTCGGTTCTCAAATTTGATTTCTCAAACACTCTTGGCTCTCCTCAAACGACTTCCTCCTAAGGTTTTGAACTCTTCTATTAAAAAAGCATTATATAATTTAATGAACTGGTTTCCACAATTTAATCACTTACATCTCCAAAAACCAAATGAAAAAAAAAATCCACTAATGTATGGATTTCTAAAGGATTTCATGAAGCAAGCTTGTGACAGGCTGGGGGAGTAATGATAACATATCAATCACTTACCATCTCGAAAACCAAAAGAAAAATATCCAGTAATGTATGATTTTCAAAAGGATTCCTTGAAACAGGGCTGCGACATGCCACTGTGTGGCTAATGATAATATAGTGGTGGACTTCTGGTTGATTTTGTGTTTAGCTGTAAGAAAATGTACTAACTCATGCTCAGAACTTGAAACATGCCTTTTGAAAATCCTCGTTTTCTCTTCGCTAGGAAAAAAAAAAACTATGCTCAGAATTTCCACTCATTCAATTTAAGCTTAATCTCAAATTGTCTGCCGCTTCATGCACATAAGATTCAGGAACAGATCAGTTCGGTTGTCTAGGTAGTAACAACTTTTCTCAGTTACATGAAGTATGCACTGGCTGTACGTCAAATGGATCTAAAATTGGTGCTTTGGCAATTACACCTATAGTGAAATATTTAATTGCTACTAAACAAGTAGGGGAAGCATCCTGTATCATATTGTCTGATTTCCTACATGTCAACATGGCATAGCGTCTTTTGCTTGATTTTGAGCATGGGACTGGGAAGAACCTTTTATACTGAGTTTACATGAAGCTTTTTGCATTGCATTTCTAAATAATGGGACCCTGCTTTTCCATGTAATAATTATCTGATTTACTGATTTAAAAGAACGAGAAAGAAAAAAAATGAAGAAAACAACTATGTAATTTTGTACAGGCGAATATGACATAGCATCTTCTGCTTGATCCTAAGGTCTCTATCATTGCATTTGGTTGACACCTATTATGTTTTTATTTAATTCTTAGATTTTAATTACGTTATATATAAAAATTAGTATTATCTACATTTTTAATGCATAACTAAATTAACCATGCTCATATATTTAATTCCACAATAATGGATTTGTACCCCGCACTTGTTAAGGTATGAATCAGAAAAACACCTAATTTGAATTAGACATGAAATTAACTTGGACTTAGAATGGTGTTTCATTCAAATCCCTATCGTATTTGTCGTTCCTATTTCTATCCTATAGAATGTAAATATGAATCAAATTCAACCTACATGTGTTAACAGAGCTCAATAGTATTTAGTGGCATGGCATTAGCTGTTCTTGTTGATAAATTATACTAATATGCTATAGATGAGCATGGTCAACACTAAAGAACCTGGTACTGATTTATTCGCATAATGCTTTAAGTTAATTCTTTTATGCATTTGTCCCTGCTTTTCCTTGTAACTTGAATTAGACAGGAAATTAACTTGAAATTAAATAGTATTTCATTCATATTCCTATCCATTTATTTTGTTCCTATTCCTATTCAGTCGAATTGAAGTATGAATCACATTCAACCTGTATATGTTATAACAGAAATCGATAGTAGTTCTTGACAGGGCATTAGCTGTTTCTTGTTGATAAATGATACTAACATGACATGATAAGCATGGTCAACAGGGAATATCCTGATAATAGTTTATTCACATAAAATTTTATTTGTTAATTCTTTTATATGTTGGACCCTGTTTTTCCTTGTAACAGATATATACTGAGTTCAATTTTTGGTGATAAACACTAACCTAATCTTCACTTTATTAATTTTTTTAGGGGAAAAAACTTATGGTGATAGGGACAACCAGTGAAGTGGGCTTCTTAGAGTCACTTGGTATTTGTGATGCTTTTGCTGTAACTTATCATGTTCCTACATTGAAAACAGATGACGCAAAGAAGGTAATTATTGTCTTTTTGAATATGTTTGCATCTTTATTTATTTATTTATTCTTTTCTGGTGTTTACCGTTTCCCTGTACTGTCAGTAATTGAGATGATGATATAATAAATTACACAAGTGGGTGGTACCTTGGTCTGTCTAACCACATAGAAAACCTGCCATATGTGAAATCAGATTAGAGAACTATTTGTCTAATTCTACATGCAAACAATTAAGCCTGAATTCTCTTATGCTAAAATTTCTTATTTGTTTAAGAATCACAAGGAGGTAATTGTTCAGTGACAAGGGACCTTATTATCGTCCATACTGAGGAAACGGGAAACTGAATTTCCTACAGCCATAGATTTTGGATCCTGATTGTTGTTCTTTGAAGATTTAGCTCTAGAAATTGATTTTTTTAATAGTTTATGACATAAAACTGTTTTATGGGATTTAGCTGTAGGAAGAGCTCAAATGTTGATCCAAAGACTCTTTAAATGTATCTTCTATTTAATGATCCAGAATAAGATGTCTTGTGTACTTTCAGTTCACTAAAAAAAGAATCTAGTGCAATGATTGTGACTTTTAGCATTGCCTTGAGGATGGGTGAAGTTGTTTATCTTATTACTCTCTGTGAAGAGGTTTTTGGACTGATCATCTGAACGATGGGGGCTGTACTTTTTCCCTGTGCTTCTTATCCCCACTGTATCTGAGCATGGGCATATATCATGTTGATTTTCTATCCTTCATGAGCAAAGAAAAAAAAATTAAGATTTTTGAGCTGATGTTAAAGTGCTCTTTGCTGCTGTAGGTATTGGAACAACTAAATGTATTTGCTAAAGAAGATGTCGACTCTGCTGCAGAAGCACTGAATGATGTGAGTTTCATACTCTATTCACACGTATACGCATGTACCGTATATTGCCCTTCTCAAAATCTGCCTGAAACTCCCAGCAAATACTCATATATGCTGCCGTAGTTGTTCTTTTAACATTATTTCATCTGAAGATTCTCAATGCTAACTACCCAATACATAGTTTCAACTGTATTTTCAAAAAGGAGATGTTATTTTCAATTGTCACTCCTTAACTCTTACCTCAAAATTTACTCTAGATGCCTATCAAGAAGCTATATATGTTGATTGAGATGGCGGCTCAGGGAGAACAAGGTGGAGCAGCAGAGGCCATTTACTCTGGTAAAGAAAAGATTAACATTGCTCACTTCTATAATTGCCTTCAGGATGTTGTCAGATACTAGTTTGTTGGCATCCATTTTCCTGGATCGCAATCTATAGTCAGTGTTGGTTCTTTTTGCACTTAGTAACTTTTGCTCATGCTTTTGTTTCCTATTTCCCGTGTATTATCTTTTTGGTGATCTGGATACTGACATGAGGTTTGGGGCATCTTTCCTTTTTTACCTATTATGTCTTGGCCAATTTTTCAGAAATTATGTTACCTTATAGTTATAAGTAGAAATTAATTTGAGTTGTATTTTGAAAGTGGTTAAAGTTTGGGGCATCTCCTCCTTAACCCTGTACGTCTTTCCAGTTCTATTTTAAAAGCATCTATGGGAATGGGGCTATTCCTCCAGTTTGAGCTATATATTAGCTTGAGATCTTGAGTTCTGATTTTGAAAGGGGTGCTTGACACAAAATTCTGTTGTATTCCAGGGACTTCTTTGATTGTTATTTCTTAAGATGTGGTTTGAATAACTATTTTGGGACAAAGTAAAGTGTAACGAACCTCCCTAAGCTAATAGAGGGGCTTGCCATTGTGTGCTACATTTGGTTTTTGTTGAATTATTGATAAAGCCTTGTGCACCCCGTGCTCTCTTGATGCATCAACTACTAAGGACTAGGTCTAACTCATTGTTTGTGACTTTTTGAGATTATGTTACTATGGTGATTAGAATGGTAGGGTGGCAGAATACGGTAATGCTAATTAGTTGTAACACTTAAGAGGTTTTGAGTGTAACCGAAATGTAAGAAACACTTCTAGACCCTATCATAAATTTTAGAAGAATACTATACTTGGATTCATTCAGAAGATCAATAGAGATCTAAATTGCTAAGAACATTTGGCTTTGATAATATAACAATTTTATTGTAAATTTGGCAAGTTTATTTGGAGTCTTGTCTTCTACCCTATAGTGGAAAAATAAAAAAACAAGCAAACAAACAAAAAGAAAACAAAAATTAAACTCTTATCTCTATTCAGATTTGTATACCACTCGCTTTATGCTTTTTTTTTTAATTTTATAAAATCAATTATATCAAAATTATTCATCGCTGTTTTGAAGTTGCAATGGTATGAAATGAGTGGTCATGCAACTGCATAAGGGTTGAGGTTTCTAGGTATGTTAAATTGCTGTATACTGATTACGTGGTATGAGATTTGGTTAACACATTGAATACATCAATTTGGTGGAGAGTTCTATGAGTTTGGGCTCCACAACTTTAGCGACTAGCTTCTGGGATGTAGTTTTTCCAATCTCATAAATGGTATCATAATTTGAGTTGGTAGCTTGACAACTTCATCCTGAATGAGATTACATCCTCTGGTTGAAGAAAATGAGAGGGGTAGATTTTTTATAGCAAATAGAGTGTGATACCATGTGGTTTGAAATTTTTTAAATTCAATATATATGGTTTGTTTTTAACAGTTTTAATAGTCACAATTTAACTGCTACCTCTAGTTAATTTGAATAGAAAATTATATGAATTTTAAAATTTTTGACAAGGACAAGGACGTAAAAGCATGTACGAATTTTTCAAAGTTCTACCGTGTGGATTTTGTTTCTGTTTCTTTTTTTTTTTTTTTTTTCTTTTGCATTCAATCTTTTATTTTTTAGTTTTATTTTAGCTGTCTTTTTCGATACATTTATTTTTCTTTAGTTATGGTAAGTGTAAATTTTGTCGTCCACATTAAATTTTCAAATTTTAGATTGTTTGTCTTTGTCTTCAACTAATAATATATTAATTAATAAATGGGTAGCTCATAATTACCGAACCCAGCCCATTTTGCCCTTTCTCTCAATGATGATAAAGAATTCGTTAATGAAATTTAATAAAATTTTGACTGTAATACTTGATTTTTCTATGCTCGTGCAACAAAGATGAAATTTAAAATAAAATAACATTTCAAAAGTTAAAATTCCAGATTGAGTTTAGGAAAAATTATCCTCATAAAATTGCTGAGGCTTTTCACAACCGCTTTACTGGGATTTTTTTGGCTAGTTTACAACAGGACCCGTGAGCTCAGTGCTCAATTTTTGCGGAGTCTTGGGAAACTTTCTCCGTGAATGCTCTCTTATTGGACCCTTATAGTGCCGAAGAGATCTTCACAGCCCTACAATAGATGCATCTCTCTAAGGCACCTGGATCTAACGGTATATCCCATCTTTTATAAAAATACCTCAAGTGGGACACGTGTTGAAAGAGGAGAGACGATACTATTACTTAAAGATATAATCAAAGAATTTTATCTAATGTTTGTAGTAATTATAAGGTTAGGAAATTTTATTTTTGATATAAAACGAATAGAACCTAAAAACTATACCTATAAAAATATGTAGGTTGCATTGACGGTTGAGATTGTGTCAACTTTTTCAAAGGATGTGAGTTTTGAGTTGTGGATCATATGAATCTTGTTATCATTTTATATCATAGATTGCAACGTTTTAGTATAATACGCGACAAAATCGTACATTTTTTGTTTAACTAGTTAAAATTAGATCTTGCATAGAAATGATTTCGATTTTGAGGCTCTCGTGAAAAAAATACAATTGCCACTACAATTATCTTGTCGAAATCTTTTTTATAATTTTGTATGGCTGATGATCCAACTCTATGTGATATATAAACTTAGTAACGTGGATGATAATTTATTTTTCAACATATTTTGATGTAAACACCTAAACAGCAAAATAATTGGTAAAAAAAAACAAAACAAAACAAAAAATTGAAAATAAATTAAGCCACCCGAGTTGAAATTGTAATTTTCTTACATAAAAAGTAATCTTATTTTATGGTAAAAAAATAGGATATTCTACCAGATAAAGAGGGTATACGTATACACACACCAACTCTGAAAGGCATTTATCCCATGTGGGTGCAACATATCTAAACTTTTATTTTTTAAAATGTTGTTTATAAAAATTTTACTAAAAATACTTCTTCTAAGAATAAAGTTCAAATGGTTTTGCCTGCCTTAGTTTAAATCATTTTTTATATTTCGTCGGATTGTTATATTAACAGTTATATCATTATTATCTTAATTATTGAAATATATAAAATTTTATTTTAAAAAATTAAATTATGTTTATTTTTTATTTTTTACATATTGAAGAAGGTTATCGAAACTGACTCGGGTATTTACCCGTTGGTTGGTCGGGAATGTATTAATCGATCATAGCATGCAATTTGCATGCAGATTTACGGTGAATATACAACAGTAATAAAATAAAATGCCTTCAGATTTTACTGAATTAAATTATTAATCCACCCGAAATTAATTAAAAACGTGACTTGATTAATACTATAATATATATATATATAACTAGGGAATATATGTAGAGTTGGGACGTAATCGTCAAATTCATTTTTAATATAGAGACGATCCATAAATATCTTAAATTAATACTATAATTTACAAAATTGTAAGTATATCTTTTCCCTTTTTGGATTCTTTAGTACGTGCTTCACACATGTATATATATATATATATATATATACATATATATATGGTGCAGGGGTGGAGATTACAAGTTTCAGAGACAATTTTATGAACAAATATTACCCATAATTAACACGTACGAATCATATTCTTGAAGTTCTTGAAAACTTTTTCTATAATCTCTAAAATTGTAAGTATATGTTTTCCATTTTGGACTCTTTTAATACATGCTTTTTATATATGGTGCAGGCGTGGAGATTACAACCTTCAGATATAATTTTATGAACAAATATTATCCATAATTTACATATATGAATCATATTCTTTAAGTTCTTGAAAAAAACAAAAAAATCTATTTTTTTATTTTATTAAATTAAAGAAAAATAATTTTAATTAACATGTTAGGTAGTTTAAAATAGAAAATTATTTTATACAAAATAATAATTATGTAGTAATATCGAAAAAAAAAATGGCTTATAAAAGTAAGCACTACAGAATTGTTTAAGGTGGTGGCTGTTTAAGATGATACGATACATTTATTATATATAAATAATTATCTAAAAATATATTAAAAAGTTACTTATAAAAGTAAGCAATATAGATCTGTGGTTAGATACTCTTTTGAAATTCTTAAATGCCTGTAAATTAATTCAATCAGCAAATTAACCTTAATCTAACAAGCAAACAGAGTTTCTGCTAATCTAATCTTCCAGCTGCAGCAATGGCAGGAGCTAAGGGAGTGTTAATAACTTACGGAAAACCATTTACATTATTTATTCGTAAAAGAAGCCATACCCCATTTGATAATTGTACGAATAGAACGATCAGATTAGGCAAAAGAACATCATTAATGGAACTAGGAAAGCAGAAGAAAGCAACAACAATGGCCACTCTTACAGAGATCAATCATCACCATCATCATCATCATCATAGTGATTATGATCATCATAAGTTGATAAGAAATGTAAGAAAGGAGATGGCTCCTGTGACTGTGAGGACTAAAGGGTTATGAAAGAGCAGATGCTTCAATTGGTAGAAAGCTGTATAATTGGTAATGCTACTCAGCAGAGAGGTGGACATGCAATTTTACAGCTTGTTAGCAAAGCGATGGCTCTTGTGACTGTGAGGGCTAAAGGGTTAGAATCCATGAAAGAGCAGATGCTTCAATTGGTAGAAAGCTGTATAAATGGTAATGCTACTCAGCAGAGAGGTGGACATGTAATTTTACAGCTTGTCAGCACTGAGATTGATCCAAGTAAGAAAAACCCATTTGACATTAATTTCCATTATTTAATGTTTGTTGGATTTAATGCTTATATTGTAGTTTTTTTTTTTTTTTTTCAATATTGAAGACACAAAAGAGGCAAAGATGATTGGATTGGTCAAAGAAGTTGAAAACAGGGGGTGATCAGGAGCTGATTCTAGAAGTTGAATTCATGGTTTGGAGTGCCAGGAGCAATTCTTGTGAGAAACAAATATCAAAATGAGTTCTTTCTTCAATCAATCTCTATAAAAGTAGTTGTACATTTTGATTGCCACTCCTGGGTCCAACCTTCTTCTGAACACAAAAGAATATTCTTCTGTAACAAAGTAATTCATATTTCTATTTGCTCTTTCAAAAATAAAAGAATCATATATATACATATATGTATAGATATACTAATTGTTTTTTGTTGGGTTAACAGGCATATTTACCTGGTGACAGTCCTGAGGGACTAAAAGAGCTAAGAGCAAAGGAACTAGAACAACTAACAGGTGATGGAAAAGGAGTTAGAAAATTGTCAGATAGGATATATGACTATGATCTCTACAATGACCTGGGAGATCCAGACAAAAGACCTCAACATGCCAGGCCAACACTTGGAGGTAACCTTAACCCTCATCCCAGAAGGTGTCGAACAGGACAACCTCCTCCAACTACCGGTAAGTCTATTGAAAGGATATCTAGAGTTGCTTTTATAAGCACATCACGATCAGAACAAGTTTTAGAACTGACCATTTATAATTCTGACATGCTAATCAAAGAATGTTGATACAGACACAAATGCAGAATCACCTGTATCTGCTTCGATGCCTATGTATGTACCTAGAGATGAAGCATTGGGTGAGTCTAAGAGGAAAGCTTTCAATCTAGGCAAGTTAAAAGGAGTGCTTCATAATATTATTCCTTCTCTGGTAACTAATGTCATAGACAAGGATGCTTTGGAAGGGTTTTCGGAAATTGAAGATCTTTACAAAGAAAGATCACTCTTTCAAATGAAATCTCGTGGTGGAACTTCAATCACATTTCCCTTATCAAGGGAACTTGGAATAGTTCGAGACTCCATTCAAAGCTTTCTGAAATTTGATCCTCCAAAGATCATTTCTGGTAAGTATTTCCCCCACCTCAATTACACATCACAAGCTTTTCTCACATAAAACTCACAAGAAGATGCTCTTAATTCTTTATGTTCTTGTGGTACAAGCAATTAACATTCTTATAGAATCTTTTTCTATAGTCTGAATTGTCAGCATCATAATTAATGAATTCATTCCTCTTCCAGGAGATACATCTTGCTGCTTGCAAGATGATGAATTCGGTCGCCAGATGGTTGCAGGCATAAGCCCTCCTCTAAGCATAGAAAAACTTAAGGTATCATACAAATCCCAGTTTCCCTGATTCTTTTTCCTTTCAAGATTTGCTTGTAAAATTTTTTTGTTTTAACCCATTTTAATAAATTATAGACTTACTATCAAATTGCAGTCTATAAATTCTTATAGTTTCGATAACTGTGTTTTAATCAATGTCAATAAAAATCATTTTACAGACTAAACAGTTAAAAAAATCTTATTTAAGAAAACAACAGTTCTGTACACACTGCAAAACCAATTTGGTTTTGTAAGATCAGTTAACAAAAAATCACGAGATCAAAATATCCTAGAATGATGTAGGACTGATCATAGTTTCGATTGTTAACGACAATGTCAGCAAAGAACAATGATGTGATAATGTAGAAAGAAAATAGCCCAAACATGATGTTACATCGTTATTTTTCTCAGTTCATAATAAAATTTCTCACTGCAGAATGTGATCCACTAGCTATTAAGAAATCACTTAATGTTACTAAATAAGATTTCTAACTAACATAGCATATCAGGAACCTCGGAAGATGCAAAAACAGACAAAATATGATGTTAAATAATTGTGACAATTTGTTAATAATCTTCTATGGCATAGCTCCATGTTGACTTTATTAGTTGTTAAGATATGAATCAGATTGAATCTATCAGGGCTAATCATAATGCTAACAAAAATTATACGTTACCTACTGTATCGCATATAAGATTTAGATCAAATAAATTGATCTCATGAAACAAACTAAAATCATTACTAACATATGTGATATCTTTCACATAGAGTAAAAAGATGAGTCTAATCCCCCTAACCTTTATAAGTAGACGATGATTTACAAGTCTCTCCACAGGAAAGATCTGATCTCACATAGCAAATAGTAAAGGTTCCTGTTGTTTGCCCCATTCCATGGCCAAGCCTAACCAGGAAAAAATCCGAGTTCATGTTAAGCAACTTGATGAAATCTCAATGTCCTTCTCTTTTACAGGCTTTTCCAATTGTGAGCAAATTGGATCCATCCATCTATGGTTCACCAGAGTCAGCACTCAAGGAGGAACACCTAATAGGTCATCTCAATGGAATGTCACTGAAGCAGGTATTGCAAAAGGAAGGTATTCTTCTTCCTCAAACAAAAAAGAGCAGAGAAATAAAATTAATCCTCTATTGTTTACATGAAAGGGTCAGAAAGAGTGAGAATCAAGAAAATAAACTGCAGCAGCTAATATTTTTGGGTTTATCTTACTGTCAAAAAGTAAAATCTGTATTTTACCTAATTTGAGGCATTAGAAGAGGATAAGCTATTCATACTAGATTACCATGACATGTATCCTCCTTTCCTCAACCGAATAAATGCTCTTCATGACTGAAAAGCATACGC